CATTCCATCTATCTAATTTGTTGGCATAAAATTGTTCATAGTATTCTTTTATAATCTTTTTTTATTTCTGTAAGGCCATTAGTAGTCTCCCACTTTCGTTTCTGATTTTAGTTGTCTTTTCTCTCTTTTTTTTCCTTAGTCAACCTAGCTAAAGGTTTGTCAGTTTTATTGATATTTTCAACAAACCCACTTTTGGTTTCATTGATTCTCTCTATTGTTTTTTTATTCTCTATTTATTTAACTCTAATCTTTATGATTTCTTTCCTTCCACTGGGTTTGGGTTTAGCTTGATCTGCTTTTTCTTATTTCTCAGGGTATAAAGTTAGGTTATTGATTTGAGATTGTTTTCTTTTTTAAATTTTATTTTGTTGTTGTTGAGAATATACACAGCAAAACACACACCAGTTAAACAGTTTCTACATGTACAATTCAGTGACATTGATATATTCTTCAAGTTGTGCAACTATTCTCACCCTGCTTTTCTGAGTTGTTCCTCTCCCATTAACATAAACTCACTGCCCCCTAAGTTTCTTATCTAATCTTTTGAGTTGTTGTTGTCAATTTGATCCCATATAGATAGTTCTTAAAATAGCATAATGCTCAAGGCAGATAGTTTTTACTAGTTAAACGATTTTTTGGTTTTATGAAGACTTTAGGGGTTATGTTTGGTTTAAGGTTGAAAGATTGTCTCAGGGCAATAGTTTCAGGGGTTCACCCAGACTCCATAGCTCCAGAAAATCTAGAGACCATGAGAGTTTGAAATTCTGTTCTGCATTCCCCCCTTTTGATCAGGATTCCTCTATAGAATCTTTGATTAAAATGTTTAGTAATGGTAGCTATGTACCATCCAGTTCTTCTGGTCTCATGGTAAAAGTGGCAGTTATTCATGGAGGCAATTAGCCACACATTTGAGACCCTCCTCCTATTCCTGACTCTCCTTCTTCCTTTGCTGTTCCATACTATTTGAGACCAACCGTTGTGCCTTGGAAGGCTGGTTGCAAGCTTTTAAGACCACAGGCACTACACAATGCACTAAAAGGTAGCGATCCTTTTCTTTTTTTAATTTAGACATTTACAGCTATACATTTTCCTCTGAGCTCTGCCTCTGGTGTATCCCATAAGTTTTGGCATGTTGGTGTTTGTTTATTTTCATTCATCTCTAAGTATTTTCTAATTTCCCTCATGCTTTCTTCTTTGACCTATTGGTTCTTTAAGAATGTATCGTTGAATTGCCACATATTTGGGTATTTTCCAATTTTCCTTCTGTAATTGATTTCTAGCTTCATTCCATTGTATTAAAAAGAAAAAGGACAAGTTCAGGTTGGTAGAAAATATTACAAGGTATTACTATCTTAATATGCAAATAAATAAATAACATTTGCCATCCACTTGATTTGTGACTCTTGGTGACCCATGTGTGTCAGAGTAGAACTGTACTCCATAGTGTTTCCAATGGTTGATTTTTGGAAGTAGATTGCCAGGCCTTTCTTCTAAAGCACCTCTGGGTGGACTTGAACCTCCAATCTTTTGGTTAGCAGTTGAGCATGTTAACCATTTACACCACCCAAGGACTCCAATATGTAAATAGCTCTAAAAATTAGTAAGTAGCTAACAAAAATGGATAAAGCATATAAATGGCCGATTCACAGAAAAAAATTTAAATGTCCAATAAACATGTAAAAAGATCCTCAGCTTCACTGTTAATAACAGAAATGCAAATTCAAATAAGAATGAGATATAATTTTTTACCCAGGAGACAAGAGAAATTAAAAATATTGAATATCCAGTAATAGTGAGGGTATGGCAAAATACTCTTGATAATAGTATACATTAGTACAACCTTTTTGGAGAGCATTTTGACCGTATCTATAAAAATTATGTTTTAAAATTTTGTGGAGCTTTGGAACCATTATTTTCAACCAGAATCATTTATGAATACCTAAAATAGAAACCATAAAGTACAGCTTCTTTGGTTGAAGCAGATGTGGGGGCCCTGTCAGGCCCCAATCTATTCTTCACAGTGTGTTCCTCCTGGCTCTGCACAGCATATTCAGCTAAGCTCCAGCTTTATGGACTTCAGATCCCAAACCATTGGCCTAGGGGAGCATGTAAAATAAGTTACCTTTTGTAAGTCAGAGAAGAAAATGAAAGCACTGTGTGGGATTTTACTATGGCGTGGGACCTCTCAGTAAACTGAACCAGTCACAGAGACTCAAATCTTTCCCTAGAATACCAAGAATGTTATTCCCCGATTTATCTCATTTCTGTGTTTGAAACAAGTAGAGCTGACATTTAGTATGAGAATCTACTCAAAGCAAAGAAAATCCCATCAAAACAAAGTTTAAAGAAAAAAAAAGCAGCCGGTAAGCATGCTCCTAAATCAAGGGGAAAAAGAATAAGTAGACCAAGAAAGAAGCACTTGGATCAGGAATATTTGACCAAGCTACACAAAGAACTAGAATAAAGGAGTCTTTGAAAAGATCTTAGGTATGAACTCAAGGAGTAAATACTGGAAATACTTGTAGCATTCATTTGAAATTTGTAAAGAAAATTTGAAATTTATAAAGAACTTCAAATTGATCAAACAGAAGATGTTATATTGTTTTAATCATCTACCTAAATGCTATGAATAGCTGAAGATTCACTTTGTTATTTCAAGTGCAAAATCTTATGACGCTCTTCTCTTTGTAACACTGTTCTCTACAGATTAAATAAGGAGCTCACTAGACTGCTCTTGCAGGGATCACAATAGAGGCTCCCAGACAGAGCTGGAGAAAATGTAGAACAAAATTCTAACTCACACACACACACACAAAAAGACCAGACTTACTGGCCTGACAGAGACTGTAGAAACCCCGAGAGTATGGCCCCCAGACACCCTTTTAGCTCAGTAATAAAGTCACTCCTGAAGTTCACCCTTCAGCCAAAGATTAGACAGGTCTATAAAACAAAAGGAGACTAAAGTGGCACACCAGCCCAGGGACCAGGACCAAAAGGCAGGAGGGGACGGGAAAGCTAGTAATAGGGAATCCAAGGTTGAGAAGCCAGAGTGTTGACATGTCGTGAGATTGGTAACCAATGTCACTAAAAAATATGTACACTAATTGTTTAATGAGAAGCTAGTTTTTTCTGTAAACCTTCATCTAAAGTACAATAATAAAAAAAAAGGTTAAAAAATAATAATAAGGAGCCCACTATATGAGCACACATCATACTCTTACAAAACTCATGGATGCTTCTTCTGCTAAGACTTTTCAAACAACAATCCTATTTAGTCCCATTTGGCCAGAAAGGTAGCTGCCTAGTAGGAGACTTGAGTCAGGTAGGAAGACAGAAAGAGGCTAGAAGACAGTTAGCTTCTCCCCAGAGTATTTTCCTATCATGGGTATTAAAATAATCCTTTACAGATAAGTCATTTGGCCTTGCTCACCTGTGAAAAATATCATAAAATTCTGAGATTGTGGGAGTTGAAAGAGTAGCTGACGTCATAAATTCTAATTATCCGAAGTTCTTACTTTCCCCTGTTGGTGACTCAAGGCTACTGCCTCCAGAGAGAAATAAAAGAAACTGCCAACCCCCACACGCCTCCATTTATCAATTCATAACGTATAATTTATGATACCTTTCAACTGCTTGCCCCACTGATTACTCACAGCCATCCTCCTCAGGAGAGGCATTCACAAGTACAGTAAACAATGATATTCTCTGGACTTGTCAATGTTCACCTAACTGCCTGGGGTGGTGAGGGCTGTTAAACAGATAGAACAAGGTTGTTTGCCCTTAAGAAGCTTGTGATCTAACTTAATAACACAAAACTCACTGAAGTCAAATATCAGAACTCCTTTTTCAGAGCACCATATGGAAAATGCAATATAGACATATTAAAGAAAGTCCAAGTAGAGGGAGAAACTGAGGGGCAGTTACAGGAGGTTTCTAGAGATTCTGATTGTGATTCAGTACTGGGGTTTTGACCATCTATTTTTTTTAAAGCTCCCCACTTCTTTACGGTCCCCAACCTTGGCAGCACACTGAAATCACCCAGGGAGCTTTAAAAAACACTGATGCCTAGGCCCACTCACAGGGATTTGGATGTAAATGATCTGAGCTGGAGCATGGCCTGGGTGTCAGGAATTTTAAAGGCCCCTCAGGAGATGTAAATGCGAAGCTAAGGTTGAGCACCACTAAACAAAGAAATTCTCATGGGCAGACAGAGTCCAGAACCACAGGTGTCAAATGTCAAGGGACTAGGGGAAAGCTGTGAAATGACCACTGATTTGGATGACTCGAAGGTGACCGATGAAATGAGTAAGAGCAGTTTTGTGGGTGTGGGGGGACCAGAAGGCAAATGTGAGACAGTTAAGGCTGTAAGTAGTTTCATTGTGAATGGAAGTCCAAAAGTTCATTTGTGAGTGAAAGAGATGACCTGAGTGACAGAGGACACCATGGGGCCAGGAGGAGTTTAATTTTTTGTTTTGCTCTTCAAGAAGAGAGACCTGGGTTGTTTACACACAGAAGGGATGATCCAGTAGAAAGAGAGTTTGAAAAACAGGAAAAGGGAAATGCCATTAATCGAAGTCTCTTAGAGACAGGACAGGGTAAGTGTGAGACTAGCATACAGATGTGAGGATTTTCTTTGTGAGGGAATGGGAACTAACATTTACTGAGCATCAGCTTTGCTAGGTACCAGGCCAGACACTGCGTAGGCATGATTTCATTTAGTGTTCCCAGCAAATCTTCAAGGACCATTCATTGTAGGGTAGAAGGCCCTATACCTAGAATCACTGCATCTTGACAGTTCCATACTAATGATATTTCCAAATCCAATACTCCAAAAGACAGCAGTGGTCAAAAACACTTGTGGCAGCCCCAACATGATTTATTATGGAAAGAAGTACAAGCAAACATTGAAAAAAAGGAAAACATTGAAAAAAATCTGTTGGAAAAATGAAAACATTGGTGCCTGTACTGGTCTAAGAAATCCCAGCTGTTTCCCCAGGTACCTGAGAACCATATTGTGAGCTGCGGTTCCCAGAGCTCTTCTCCCCAGGATGCACAGGGCAAAGGACAGAGTCACCAAAGGAGAGTCCTCATCGCTGTCCAGAGTCTCCGAAGGCTGAAAGAGGAGGGACAGCAATTCAACTTTCACACAGGCCCCAATATCCTTTTCATGACCGGTGGGATATATGGTTGCCCACCAACATTTTCTGCCTCTCAGGTTCATTGGGAAGTTGCTTTCCCATTGATAGTGCATGCTGCCACAAGGCAGGGGCCTTTATGACTGTTTGAAACAAAAATCAAAGTGCATGTGCCACAAATTACTGTTTCTACACAGTGTTGTATGAGGTATGTGCATTTTTGGTAGGAAAAATAGAAATTTGAAAAAAAGATTTTGAGACACCTATGTGCCAGTGGACTCAGGGAGACTCCAGGGGTACAATTAGTGGGACAACATATGTCCCTCTGGAATAGAAGGGTAAGTTGTGGGAGGGGAGCAAGGAAAAAAAAATCCATACTACCTACCAAAAATTCAACAACACTCAATGATTCAGCGTGCTTCCATTAATGAAAACACATGGTACCAATGAAAAATTTAAAACAGAAAATAATTGGGTCTTGAAAGGGATATGCACTGACATGACTCTTAATGTAGAGTTTGAGGAGGCTTTTTAAGTTAGCTATTATGCTCAACCAGTCCCCTCTATAATAATCCCAGGGACAGAGAACTCTCTGCTTCCTTAAGCTGTTTCTTTTATGGTTGGACAGGGAAAGAAATAAAAATTGAAAAGCTACTTTATGGGAAAAAAGGGGCTAAGATGTGGTTTGATGATTTAATTCCCTAGGATTTTGGATATGGCCCTTCAGTTCGTGACTGTAAGCCAACTGAATGCCCACTTTAACACTCCCCAATATACGGTAAGAGACATGGTCTAGCAGAAAGAGAAGAAATAAATAGTACGAAGCAAGCTGGAACAAAGGTCCTGCCTTCTCCCTATAATGAAGAGTCCTTTGACTTGACCATAAGTCCACAATCAACAACTAAATTACAAGGGTCGTCCGAAGTCAGATTATTTTAAAAGGGAGTGAGAGGGTAGTGTGGAAGAAATTTAAAGTCATAGTATCTTTAAAAAAAAAAAAAGAAGAAGAAAGGAAGAAACTATTTCATCCACCAAGTGAGGAATGAGGAAGGCCATCGTGGTGGTAGCTAAGAATATCAGTAGATGATTCAAATATCTCCACCACTTGAAGAGTCAGTGGTAAAGATGGTCAGCACACATTTGCCTTGGTCTGTCTGCCACCTGCTTGTTCTGCCACTTGTTTTCAATCACTCATAAGTAGGTCAAAGACCAGGGCTAGTGTCATGGTTGGGTTCCCTTTTTACAGGACTTATCACATACTTTATCAGCTGCTGAGGAAGTTGTTTTCAACATGGACCCACTTTCTCCAACAACCACACATTGATTCAGCCTTTCAAATACTGTTTTCCTCCCTTTTCTCCGCTACTCTCCCTCCTTCCCCATTTCTGTTTGTAAGATGTCACTGTCCTTGGCTTCATTTCTGAGAGGTAGGATCCACCTCCAGATGGTCCTCATCAACTGAACAACATGGCACAAGAGAAACAAATATGGAAGTAAGTGGGGCCATCTGATGGTTAAGTAAAATCTGCATGTCCATGATTAGATGTGTTCACAAATCGTCCTGAAGACTTTTAGCACAGATAGACTCTGTACAGCAATCTCAAAATGAAATTTTAAGCAAAGAAGTTTTCAATGTTTTAAAGTGATTATAGAGACCTAAAGGAGTTCTGGTGACGCAGTGGTTAAGAGCTTGGCTGCTAACCAAACGGTCAGCAGTTTGAATCCAACAGTTGCTCCTTGGAAACCCTATGGGGCAGTTCTACTCCATCCTATTGGGTCGCTATGAGTCGGAATCGACTCGACGTCAATGGGTTTGTTTGTTTGTTTGTTTATATGGAGGCCTAAAACATCACTGACCCTGCAGCACAGCACAGAGGGAAATGTACCTTCCAGGCTGCTCATTAGAAACACAATGTAGTTCTTACAGTTAATTGTGCCAAACCATTAAATACACATTTATTCAAACACTGATGCCTTTTCTCCTCTCTATTTTATCATAGTCCACCATGGAATATAAGAATGAGATGGACTTTACAACAATGTTCCTTGTTTAAAATCTCACATTCAATGTCCCTCCTCTTCCCCACCTACCTCTTGTTGTTTCTGTGCACAGTACTGGATCCATTCTAGGTAAACGTTGCAGTAGCTAGCTCTGGTGATCCCCTGAAGACATGGCACGTAATCATCATCAATGTTAATGTTGAACATTGCAAGGTCACGCTCAATGTAATGCCACTTGGCAAAAGGCTGCAGGGACTTCAGAAGTGACTCATTTTTGATCCAGGAGAGGAGTTTGGGGGAAGTGACCATGAAGTATATTATACTCTGCAGAGAGAAAGCAAGAATTTGAGCCCTCACAGCCATTCTAAAGCCAGAGAGGTTTTTATTTGTTAGATCTCAGAAAGTCAATCAATCTCAGGAAAGTATGAGACGTGAAATCTCTACATATGGTATCATTTGTATTTCCTGCTAGACTTAATTTAGAAAACCCACTTGAGACATCCTAAAATATAAGGGTCAGTGTTAAGGAAGAGGGAAGTCAAAGAATATGACGCTAACAGAACGTGAGAGGACAGAATTTTTGTGGTGAGAAAGAATGACAGAGAGAAGCACAGAGTGATGGAATTACTACAGGCTTCTATTTATGCCAGGCCAGGCTGAGTCCAGCTGCGAGAGAGCGGGGAAGACCCTCTTCCAGAGCCCCAACCAAAGGCCACTGAATGCATTAAAATGACACAGTTCCTATGGAAAGTATTTATGATGTAAAATTAATGTAGCACACACACACACATAATACTGGATGCCCAGAACTTTGACATCAGTGACACGTTCAAAAACAACCCATGTTTTCTCCTTCACGAGACGCTGCACTTATGAATACCTACTGGGGAAAACACCAGCCTCAGGCTTTACTGCACAGAGTCACAGCTCTATCAAAAGCCATCTTGTAGTTTTCAGATGAATTCATCCTTCAAAACATTGGCCTTGGCCTCAAGGAGTGAAAATGCAACAGAGAAAAGGAAAATCCAAGCCTGATACAGGCCCATCAGCTACTGAATACAAGTGCCCTGCTGCAAGTTACTTCCAGTGTTCACTGCATTTTCCTTATGGCAGAAACAGGGACGTGGTGCTCAGTGCTCGTGCAGAGTGTAGACCAGAGACTTGGCTGCGCTTCTAGCCTTGAAATCACAGCACCAAATGGGGGTGTGGTCTTGGTGGCAGGGAGGCCTTGATGTGAACTTCTGTTAGAATTATTCACTTACTTGGGGGCCTTCCCTGATTATAAAGCACAGTTTTTTCCAAAAGACAAAACAGAAAGAGATGTATACTGATGTGGACCTCAATAAAGGTTCAGGTGACTAGAGCCTCTGAAAGGGGGAAGAAGCATCCTGACAGGGGGCTCCCACTCTTACTCCACGCTGGTCCCTCTCTTTGACTGTGAAGTGAATTCCAAAGCTCTGAAGTCTGAGGTCTCTGGTTTTCAGGTAATTTCAGGGGCCTGAGCAGGTGAGGGACTGACACACAGGATCTGTGGACATTGGGAAACAATCGCAAACACCTGACTTAGTCTCTCTCTGCTGTCAAAAGAAGGCTACTCTTTGGTTAATGGCTTGTGGCCTTCCTCCTTTGGGTATATTCTTTCAGGCTCCATAGTCTACCTGTCCCTCCGATGGAGAACAGGAAAAATAAATCCACAGATAATGAGTAGAATTCAGTAGTTCATATGTTCTGCAGCACTGCATCCCAAGCAATAATGGCTGGCCTTAAAACATCCTTTCAACAAAAGGAGGAAAGGAGAGAGGAGGGAAGGAAGACAGGAGGGAAGGAAGAAGAAAGGGAAGGGAGAGAGGAGGGAAGAAGAGAGGAAGGGGGGAGAGAGAGAAGGAAGGAGGGAGGGGGAAGGAGAGAGGAGGGAATGAGGGAGGGAGGGTAAAAGAGACAGCAGGGAAGGAGAGAGTAAGGGGGAGGGAGACAGGAAGGAGGGAGGGATAGAGCGGTAAAAGGAAACAGAAAGAGAGAGGTGGGAAAGACAGAAGTACTAATGATGCCCACAGTTCACCATTGCTTTGAGGTTTAAAATGAGATGATGTACATGAAGAACTGGGCACATGGTACATGAGTCAGGAATGATAATAACATCATACCTGTGGCCCTTATCCCTTACCTACTCCACCTGTAGGGTAGGCTGGAGGGCTGAGGATGCAGGCAGGAGGACAGCAACATCAGCCAGAAGAGGTCTGGAGCAGAGGGGTAGGGGTTTGGGTGGCATTAGGGGACAGGAGACAGCTGTCTGTGTTAGTCACCAGAGCACATATCTAAGATTGAAATGTACAAATTCTTGATCAGGAAGGTTTCCTACTGACTATCTCCTGGCCTGGATGTAAAGCCTCCACGAGGTAAACAGTTTAAGCGGCCACATCAAAGTTAGAAGCAAAGAGTATAATGACACCCAGCATCTGTGACTTTGGCCACAGGCACTATTCTCAGCTGTGATTTAAGAAGGGAAAAGAATACACTGTTCTCCCTAAACACCTGGGTCTAGCAAACATCTGGTCTAGTTTTTCCTTAAATGTCCTAATCACATGCACGAGATAGAAATAACAAACAAAAATCAAAAGACAAACATTTACCTTTTGCTTAGGACCATAGCCTTGTGGGACTTCTAGGTCAATTGGCACAACATAGTCTTAAAGTTTATGTTCTATATCTTAGTTTGGTAAGTAGCATCTGGGGTCTTAAAAGCTTGTAAGCAGCCATCTAAGATATAACTATTGGTCTCTACTCATCTGGAGCAAAAGAGAAAGAAGGAAACCAAAGACTCAAAGAAGAACCTGGTCTACAGAACCAATTGCCTACACAAAGCAGAGCCTCACCTAGCCAGAGAACAGAACTAGATGGTGCCCAGCTACCACTACCAACCATTCTGACCAGGACCGTAATAGATGGTCCCGTGTAGAATGGAAGAAAATCGTAGAACAAAACTCAAAATTAAAATAAAAAGGCCATATTTACTGGACTGGCAGAGACTGGGAAATTGCTGAGACTATTGCCCTGAGATACCCTTTAAACTTTGAACTGAAACTACTCCCTGAGGTCACCTTTCAACTAAATAACAGATTAGCTCATAAAACAAACAATATTACCCATTAGTACCGTGCTCCTTTTATTTAAAAAAAAAAAAAATCATCTATTTGAGACCAAACAGTCAACATTTACCCTAAAGCAAAGATGAGAAGGTCAGGGGTGGCAGGGAAGCAAGAATAATGAAAACGCAACAACCAGAATAGAAATGATGAGAATGTTGACAGAATGTGAAAAATGTAACCAAAGTCACTGAACAATATGTGTAGAAATTGATAAATCGGAACCTAATTTGCTGTGTAAACTTTCACCAAAAACTCAATAAAATATTTAAAATAAAAAATAATAGGGGAACTACTTCTGCAATAGGAGTCCCTGAGCGGTACAAGTGGTTTGCATTTGGTTACTAACTTAAAGGTTGGCAGTTTGAATCCACCCGGAAGCTCTATATATGAAGGGGCTGATAATCTACTTCTGTGAAGAGTACAGCCGAGAAAACCCTATGGAACAGTTCTATTCTGTAACACGTGGGGTTGCCATGAGTTGGAATTGACTTGATGGCAACAGGCACCTTTTCAATAATTCTGTAATTCTAATGCTGTTCTTTTTTTTTTTTTTTTTTTTTTAGTATGGAGAAGGCCTAGTTGATAACATAAGCTCAGATTCCATCACTCCAGCAGGGCTAATGCAGTCAAGTAACCCCTAAACTTGTCTCTCATCCCCAGTCTCTCACACATGGCCAGTGCAGTGCAACGCGTTTCTCTTCAGTTATGGGCTTTTTGGCCCTGGGTTTGTAGTTCTGCCAAAATGATTTGCTGGGCCACAATCTTGCAAAGGGATTTGACTGTTTACCATGCAACTAAGGTGCATACAACCTTTGTGGGGAATCTGGCAATTACTATGCAAATTAGGTGACTGTGGCCTACCAAGGGGATTGGTCAATTCGTGGTTTTGGTCACAGGAGTAGACATATAAAAGGGTTAACCCCACAGAGGTTGTGGCGGGAGGCCTTGCTACCATCAAGAAGAGCCTGGAGCGGAGCACATCCTCTGGACCTGGGGTCCCTGTGCTGAGAACCTCCTAGATCCAGGAGACAGAGTTGTAACACTGGAGACTATGAGAGATGGCACAGCGGCAGCACGAGCAACAGTGGCGTGAAACAGCAGGGACCAGGAGACTGGCAAGAGGTGACTGCCCATGGAGTGAGAGAGCTGAGCACCTTCGGGTAAGAGTCTTGCTGGCAGAGTGGGGCGCCTCTGAGCACTTATCCATAGAGCTAAAGAGTTGTAACACTTGCCCAAGCAGGGCAGAGGCCAAAGGCCAAGAGGCGAGCCTGCTAGCCTGGCCTAGAAGCACAGCCTACCTGAGGGCCATGGCTTAGAAGGAGCTGAGAGCTGTCCTGGTTGGAAGTTATCCTGATTGACAAACTGATCCTGTCCTATGTTGTTCCTGTTACTTTCAAGTTAATACTGATCCTGAAATGTAGCCAGTTACTTCCCTAATAAACCCCATAGCTGTCGAAAAAAAAAAAAAAAAGCTTATCTTTTGATCTATTTCTAGGGAGAAATTAAATAACCCTACAACCGATGAAGTTGTATTAGTTAATAAAGACTTTGAATCTCAGAGGCTAAAACTTCTTCTTTTAGGTCTGGCAAAACCTTGCAGTGTGGACTTTGGATCAACTGTATAACCTTGGCTCAATCGGCATTCCCACGTTCCCATGCTAGAAGGGAACTGTAGTGCTAACACACACCTCTCACCAGAAGCACCCAGAACCACTCCAACTAATTCTAAACCATACTCCATTTCCACTTTATATAGGAAGAAATTCTGTCATGGAGACATAGTTAATGAATAGGGTAGAATCCCAGAATCTGCCAGAATGGAACAGATAAATGATAAGGAAAACAGGAAAGCAAGGTGAAAATGAATTTGACAGAATATAACCTGAATCACGTTGTAAGCAGGACACTTTCTGAATTAATTCAGTATATCTGGCTCCTACAGCAGGGATTCTCTTTGTTGCTCATTTTAATTGTAGATCAGCCTATTCTATCAGACAACTGATTCTAGTAACGGGACCTGGCAGTCCGGCCAACATGACTGGATTTTTCACTCTGTATTCTGCAAAGCAAGTGATAAGCACATCTCCCTTCTGAAAGATCTAGGCAGAAACAGTAGCAGCAGGAACGCCAGGCACTGGCAAAGGCTGCTTTCTTGAATGCTAAGAGGTATTTAAACACTCATAAATTGAGGAGAGATGGAGGATGCACCAGGGAAAATTTCAAGTCCTCAGGAAGGAAATTATTTCAAATATGTTCATAGAGGGTGGAGGGACTGACCTAGTTTACTGAAAGATTTTTTAAAAAATCCTTTTTTGTAAAAGGAATTATTCTAAGTTCTTCTTCCTTTTCAATTGTCCTGTGCAATAGAAAAATAAAAAAAAAAAAGAATGAAACTGAACTCTTGAAACTTGAAGCAATTCACAGCTACAAAGTCAACTTTGCTCACCAAGCAACCAAGGTCAAAGAAGAAAATATTTATTTGTTTTCTTTCCAAAAGTCTGTTTCATCTCTTCTAACAGCCACTCCATTCTCCTCAAATTTCATCTAACCATATCATGAGAGAGGGAGTCCCTGGGTGGTGCAAATGGTTAAGATGCTCAGCTGCTAACTGAACGGTTGGAAGTTCAAGTCCACCCACAAGTACCTTGGAAGATCTGGCCTGGTGATCTACTTCTGAAAAATCATCCATTGGAAACCCTATGGAGCACAATACTACTCTGACACACATGGGGTCACCATGAGTTGGAGTCAACTGGACAGCAACTGATTTTTTACCACGGGAGTGAGTGGCAGTTCTGACTACCCCTTGCTGAAAGGTAGGAAGATGTATGACTGAGTATTATATTTAGCAAAACTTCACATGAATGAGGTTGACACTGCCAATGTGAATTAATGAGGGTGGCATCATGTGGCCCCATTGGTGCAAATATCTCAGTCCATCTGAGCTCTGACTGGGAGTTAAGGAGATTCTGTTTATATTAAGAACAAATATGTCTGTAGTTGTTCCCAAACTTGGTTGTGTATGAAATCACTTAGGAAACTTATTTAAAAATATAAGTCCTTGGGCCACACTCCAGGCCTACAGAGTCAGAATTCTGGGTAAGACATGGAAATCTGTAATTATCCAGCCACCTGGGTGAGTCTGATGCTGCTGGTCTAGGTAAAAAATCACTGCACTCTCTTCCTCTCCTACCTCACCTACAGGGCTCATTTAGGGATTTAGGGATCACTCCCCTTTCTTAGAAAGCAGAGTGAGGGGCGCTGCTCCCCAGAAGCCAACTAGTACCTGGCAGGGTTCTGGGAACCTCCCTTAGCCCTCCTCTATTTGCAGACTATACTGGATTTGTTTTTCAGATTACAACTTGTTATTTTAGAAAGCATGTAGAGGATCAGAAGGCATGTCAGAGAGGAGAGAAGGACAGTAGATAACCAATTACAAGTCCAGGGGAGGGAGGCAGAGGTACCATCTGTCTGAGCATCAGCACAGAGCTCCCAAGGCCTCTGGAAAAGCCAAGCGTGTTAGCCAGGGAGGGCGGACCCTGAGAGGGCACCTAATCCACTTCCTCTCCCTTCTCTCCCACACCTGGTGATCTGCTTGCCTCATTATGTGAGCTCAGGTCTGTCCACGTGTCTGGCCCATGGAAGGGCAGCCCATGGGAGTCCCAGAGTCCCAGAGACTTGGCTCAGTACTGAACCCCATTCTTGCCTGGAGCAGTCACTCAGACCCTTGCCTAGATCTGGATCTCTTAACATCCAGAATTTATGGCCTGGACTCCTAGTTCCCACTTATCTGGAGCCTTTCTTCATTCAGTCCAAAAATGTATGGGGCACCTCAATATGCAAGTCATCACATAGAGCTCAGGGACACAGAGGAACCAGGAGTGGCTCTTGTGCTTAACGAGTTGTCATAGTGAAGTAGAAAATCTTCTAGAGGACAGGGAAGTGAACAGCACAGGCCCCAGGGCAGCACATGAGGAAGAGCTGGAATTCGAGCCCAGATTGGAAGGTAAGATTTGAGCAAAGAATAGTGAGAAGAAAGTCTTTGCAGGAGGAGAGACCAGCACATGCAAAGGCACAGTGGGTAAAGCTCCGTGTGGACACAGCATATACAAGAAAGGGATGAGGAACAGAGGTGGCTAATGGAAATGAAATTGGACACAACAGTGGAGGCCTTTGGATGGCAGATTAAAGAGTCTAGCATTATTCTTGAGGCAACAAGGAGAAGTTCAACTCCAGGTTTCATAAACCTGCCTATCTGGATGCCCCTGCTTGCCCTAGCTGCTTCTCTGGGTTACATTCCCGGCCACTTGCTTCCAACCTGTCCTGCTGCCACCTAAGAACTAAAGGATATGCTTGAAAGAAGCTTTCTCTCCTGGATGAGGGAGGCCGAGATGGCTAGTTACCACCTAACTTCTGTTTTCACCTCCTTCCACAAACACGTGATTTTATCTGGGCTCATGGCTGCCTGGAATACACCTTCCAGGCCACCTTGCAGCCAGCATCCTGACTAAGCTGCAGCCAATGGGACGAAGCAGAAGTGCACCATGGGAGCCTCCTTTCCCCCACCTGTTGCCTGAAACTTGAATCTTGGAACATGAGGTTGGGTGATATACTTAAAATGGTGGCACTGAGAGCTGGAAAGAACCTGGGTGTTACCATACCAGCCTTCATTTCTGTGAGAGTGAAATAAACTTCTCTCTTGTGTGCACCACTGCTATTTTGTGACTCACCACCAAGTCTAATACCAACTGATATACCGAATTTTCCTGGAGTTTATTCTACGTATGAAAAAACTTCATGGCTTAGGGAACAGAAGAGGGAGTTAGGAGTCAAGAGATCACAACTTCCCTGATTTGCTTCCCAAAGCATTTATAGTTTTATGCGACATTTGGAGTAAAGTTGTGCATCCCTCCAGCACACACGAAGGTGGTGAGTATGAACTGCTAAATCTGTTCTGAATATTCAGGGCTCCTGTAGTCACACAGGTGTATGATAATTTAGAGTTCTTTGTCTTCTGGCTTTCATGGTACTACCTTCTATTTCCGGTAAATTTCAGCAGCTTTTGCTGCAGACTTTGGAGTCCCCTCAGTAAACTTCTACATGTCCTGCTTTTTAGCTGGTTGAAACTCTTGAGGCTCCAGGTACTCCTGTAATCTTTTTATTTCTGTATTTTCTCCTTTCTGCCTGGATCTCCTGCCTCAGCCATAGCTGGCAGTGTTTTTGGGCCTCCTATGGATGTGCTTCCTCCTTTTGAACAGCATTAAGTGTGGGCCCTTCTGTGGACTGTCCAGGCCTTCCACCTATACACAGTCCACCACAAAGTCTTCCTCAGTCACAGCGGCCTTCACCTGCCCCTTTCCCTTCAGAAACACCTTTGCTCCAGTGTCATAGATTGAATTGTGTCCTCCCAAAATATCTACCAACTTGGCTAGGTCATGATTCCCAGTATTGTATGATTGTCTACCATTTTGTCATCTGATATGATTTCCCTATGTGTTGTAAATCCTATCACTATGATGTAATAAGATGGATTAGTGGCAGTTATATTGATGAGATCTACAAGATTAGATAGTGTCTTAAGCCAATCTCTTTTGAGATATAAAAGAGAGAAGCAGAGAGACAGGGGAACCTCCTACCACCAAGGAAGCAGCACTGGGAGCAGAGTGCATCCTTTGTACCCAGGGTTCCTGTGAGGAGAAACTCCTAGTCCAGGGGAAGATTGACAACAAGGACCTTCCTCTAGAATTGACAGAGAAAGCCTTTTCCTGGAGCTGACACCCTAAATTTGGACTTGTAGCCTACTAGACTGTGAGAGAATAAATTTCTTTGTTAAAGCCATCCACTTGTGGTATTTCTGTTACAGCAGCACTAGATAACTAAGACACCCAGTTATACCCATCCTCTTTGGTCAGGTCTCACATTTGTTCTCCAGGAGGCTAATTCCAAACAGGCACTTCTTTCTGATGCTGAATACAGGTTGGGGCAGACATAAGTACCAAGTGACTGAAAAAATAAGCCATGACTCCCCATGAGAGTGAGGGAAAAGAGTTGGCAATAACTTCTGTTTACACTTGGAAATGGAACTTTCCAACTCTGTTTATAATGGGATTTTGCTATATTTTTAAGTTATCCTGCAATTCAAAACAACTCTAGTTCTAAAATGGACAATTTAAAAAGCATCTAAATTGACATTTATGACTCATAATAAACATTGAGGTTTGAAATATTTCTAAGATGTTTAAATTTATCATAACCATCATTATAAGCAACCCGTGCAGTGTTAGAATTGAGGAAACAGACCTATATAAGAAACCTGACTGCCAATTTGTACCAGGCTTAGCATATGACTCAGGGACACAAACCATGGGCTAAACCAACGCCTTCTAGGATTGTTCAATAAAGCAACAGTTCCCATACCTAGCTGTGCATCTGATTCAGAAGCTAAGAAGGCTCAAAATTTGTATTTTCGCAAAGCTTTGCAGGAGCTTCTTCTGTCAACCCACATCATTACTGAGACAAGTGTTTGTAACCCCGAGCAGTACCTTGATGTAGTACCGGATGAGGAGCCTTCGTAGATCAAAGACCTGCAGCATGGTGGCTGCATTGTTGTCTATGATGCTGTAGCCCTCCAAGATGTACTGCGTCCGCGTGATTTCCCACGTAAGCCAACGGAGGTTAAATGCGGCATTGCAGGATAACAGGTGGGGCAAGTGGCCCGGTTTACAGCAGCAGCAGCCTCCATCGTCCTCATCGCCCTCCATGATGGCTTCCACCTCTCGCTGCTGGCAGTATGTTCCTACCAAGTACAAACAAGATGGAAGCTATAACATCATTCTAAAGCTTTTGTTTGGAATAGATTTTTTTCCTTGCCTTCATTAGAGGGGAAGATGTTTAAGAGAAGAAAATCTAGGAATCCAGAGATTTGTTTAATTCTTAGACTAAACAAAATAGGTTATAATTCTTGTATTCATTAACCGTCTTATTCATTCATATTCAGTCTGATTTTCATCTCGTTCCTTGTTTGTTTTTTTTTTTCTATCAGGTGAGAAATGATCTCATGGTGGTCCTCGATACCAATGGTTGAAATGCAGGATGGTTACAGTCTTGTGTTTCCTCTTCCAGAAATGTGAGGTCATGACGGAGCAGATGAGAAGCACAAAGGAAGGTGGCATGTGGAAGGTGTCAGGGAGCAACTAGGTACATGTCGAAGTGCTACCAGGCGGGGCACCCTGGAAGAACCTCCTCTGACACACCCCAGGGGAAAAGTGCCTCCTCCACAGGAATCAGGGTGTTGGGTGAGTTGAGTACACTTTCAAAGGAGTTAACTCCAGAAACATGATAAAACATTTTCAAAGGTGTAAGCAACCTTTGCAAATGGGACACAATATCTTTTTCAACATTTTTATCAATGATTTGAAATGATATACATGTAGGATGATAATGACATGAGGATATCCTCATGGTACTAGTTAATATCACCTTGAATGCAGGTATCTAAACAGTGTGATTATTTAGATAATGTGATCTAAAATTATATCAGCAGCCCAGGATCGTGGACTGAATCTAACATACAGTCATGTGTTGCTTAACGTCTACGATACGCTCTGTAAAATAGGACGTTATGTGATTTGGCCTTTGTGCGAACACCATATTATATACAGGCAGTCCCCAGATTACAAATGTCTGACTTATGGACAGCTCATACTTAAGAATGGACTGCCATAAAGCCTATTATATTAAAAATTTGAATTAAATACATACAATTGTTTGAATAACGAACGCAGGCACTACTTTGTGACGCTCATGAAAACATTGCGCAGTTTGGCAGTGTTTCTTAAGTGTTACATCCACTACATCCTGTTCTATCATTGGGATCTTCGAACTCTGTTACAATCTTATGGCACCACGGATGTATATGAAGTTGGATGTTGCTCGAACAGGCATTATATGGTGCGTGACAGTACTGAAAATTAAATGGAATATCCTGCATCTAGGTTCAAAAAACCAACTACATAATTTTGGATAGGAATATATAGTAGCATGTTTGATGAATAATTTCGTAATTCCATTGATATATGAGCCAGAAGTAAGATAATATATAAAACTGAATGTAATCTAGACAGCATCAATAGGAATGTAATGTTCAAAACAAAAGGATAGCTTCGGTCATAATATACTTGGTATTATTCCTGTATCTGTTACACATAAAAGGTCATTGATGAAATAAAGCTAGCAGAGCTGAGTAAGTTACACTTTTTAGATTACTTGTCTATTACAAAAATAATAGTAGATTAGTACCAATTTGAACAAGACTATAAGGATTATTAATCGCACGTCAAGAAAGCTGCAAGATTGTAAAATAACTCAAAATTATATTAGTGAAGAATTACTGTAGATCTAGGGACTTTTATTTTGGAGAAAAGAAGACTTTAGGAGAAATTATGGTTGCCTTCAACAACTATCTGAAAGGCTTTATATGGAAATGTGAACAGGATATTCTCTGTGGTTCCAGAAAACAACATTATGACCAATGGGAGAAAGTTTTGGGGTACAGAATTTATTATAACAAATATCATTTTAACAGCTGGAAGTTCAATAATGAGATGGACTGTCACGAGAGGATAAGGAAAGAGCTGATGGTGAAAACACGGAAGTAAAATGTGCTAATGGCCATAGGTACAAATCAATTGAACTATAATTCACAGTAAAGAGAAGAACAGAAATAGGAGAGAAACTAGGAAGGAAATCAGGATCAACTGAAGTTTTTGTTATTACTGTAGTAGTAGCAGCAGCAGCAGCAGCAGTAGTGGTGGTGGTGGTGGTGGTGGTGGTGGTTTGTGTATTTTTTAAGTAGCTGAGTCCTAAGCAAACGTGCTGACAGAAGGAAATGAGCTAGGATTAAAAAAAAAAGACAAAAGATTGAATAAAATCAGAGTCCCAGAGGACAAATGAACTGGGTAGCTTAGCAACAGCAAAAAGAAAAGACAGATGTAGAGGTGCAGATGAGAAAGCTCACACTGGAAGATGAAATAGTCACTCCAAGGGAAGGTAGGGGAAATGGAGTTAGGAAGGGGAAGAAATACAGGAAGTGGTAGGAAAAGGAAGTGAGTGTGCATCCCCAAGAAGTTTCATTTTAAAAGATGCTTTCTTGACTATGGGCCTGCATTAAGAAATTATTTGTCAAGAGTCACCAATGAGTTGATTTAAAATAATTTATGGATGTAGGATACCATCTCAACTTCAATAGGAGAATGTTATGCAGTCAGAGATAGTAGCTAACAACAACAGGTTTTGAAGAATGGTAGTACTTACAAGCTATCTAACCCTGGTCAAGTTTTTTATCTTGGTCCAAGCTTGTTTCCTCACCTGTAAAATGGGCTGTTATACGGATTAAATAAAATGACATAGGTAAAGTGATTAGCCACTCAATAAATGGTCATTTTTACTATTATTTTGACTATATTGTAAGCCCCACAAAGGCAGGGCCAGGAAAATAGAAACTCAGTGAATAAGTAAATAGACAAATGAGTTAATAAATAAATTACTTCATTCATGAAATACTGAGTGACTATTTGTGTCCTACATGGTCTCTATGTGTTGGAATCAACTCAATGGCATTGGGTTTTGTTTGGTTTTGGGATTATGTGTCAAACACTGTTCTATGCACTAGGGATTTAGCAGTGGAAAAAATATAAAAATTCTTGTCCCAGGGTAGCTAATAAGATTAGGATGAATAATATAGACAATAAACAAATAAGAAAAATACAAAATATGTCAGATGGTAAAAAATTTTTTAAAAAAAGCAAAAGAGGATATGGGATGCTAGCGCAAGGATAGCTATTTTAAATAGGGGGCCTCGAGAAGATCTCATTGATAAGAGATGTTTAAGTAGAGATCTGAGGAGGCGCAGGAACAATCTGTAATGATAACTGAGAGAAGAATATTCCAGGCAGATGGAACACCAAATGCGAAGGCCTCAGGTGGGTGCATGCATGTCGTATTCCCAGAAGAGCAAGGAAACCAGTAGGTCTACAGCACAGTAAGCAAGCAGGAAAGTGAAAGGAGATGAAACAAAGAAGTAGTAGGGAAAGATCCTACTCGAAGTAAGTTGGGGAGCCGTTGCATGGTTTTAGCTTAGGAGAAATGAGGTCTGACTTACGTTTTAGGAGGATCAGTCTGACTGCTGCCTGGAAAACAGATTGTAGAGGGAGTAAGAGTGGGCATCAAGAGGCTGTTAGATTAACCCAGATAAGAGATAATGGTGATTCGGACCAAGGTGGTTGGAGGAAGTGGTGAGAAACTTTTAGACTGCGGATATATCTGAAGGTAAGGCTGACGAGATTTGCTCACCAGTATGGATGCGGGATGTTGAGAAGAGAAGTGACGAATGATTCTAAGGTTTCTGACCTGAGCAAGATGAAGAATGAAGTTACTATTTAAAGAGAAGAGAAACAGGCTTTGGGTGAGGGTGAAGGGAAGATCACGTATTTGCTTTTGTACATATTAAGTTTGTTGTTGTTGTTAGGTGCTGTCGAGTCAATTTGAGGTGCCTATTAATTATGAAAATGGAGATATCAAGTAGGCAGTTCGATTAAGAAATTCGAAGTTCAGGGGAGAGGTCCTGGCTAGAGATTTACAAAACCTTGGAGAAATATCAGCATATAGAGGATATTTAAAGTTATCTATGGTGAGAGTACAGGGAGCATAAGAGAAGAGATCTGAAAAATGAACGCCGGGCATTCCAACATTTAGGGGTTGGGGAAAGTGAGGCGATATCAGCAAACGAGATTGAGCAAAAGTGGCTAGTGCTGTCAAAATAAAACCAGGAAGTCCTGAAAGGCAAGTGGGGAAAGGGAAGAGGGAACATCAGCTATGCCAAATGATGCTTTAGGTCAAATTGCATGAGGAATGAAACTGAACTGTTGAATCTGACAATGTGAAGGTGAATGGTAATCTCTGCAAGAGAAGTCGTGGTGGAATGGTGGGTGGGGCTGGAGTAGCCCAACTGGGGTGAACTCAAGACAGAATGGGAAGAGAGGAAGCAGAGACAGTGCATGTAGCCATTGTTTGTGAGGAGTTTTTAAGAACTTTATGTCTTTTATTTCTTTTTTGTGCCCCATTGTACAGGCTGGGACATCCAGTACAATGTTAAATAGAAGGGCTAGGAGTAGGCATCTTTGCCTTGCTCCTGATCTTGGGGGGAAAGTATCAGTCTTTTAGCACTAAGTATGGTATTGTAGGATTTTCATGTTTATTATCAGGAGGAGAAAGTTTTCTTCTACTTTTCTAAGAATTTCCTTCAAAGTCAGGAATAGGTATTATATTTTATTCTCATGCTATCCTCAATAGATTTTTTTTATCACATCTATTGACATGATAATATAGTTTTTCTATTTATTCTGTTAATATAATGAATTAAATTGCTTAATTCTCAAATATTAAACTAACCTTTCATCCTGGGGATAAAAATTGTAGGTTTAGATATTGTTGAATTTGGTTTTCTAATATCTTGTTAAGAATATTTGCGTGTATATTCATGAAAGTTCTTTTCTTGGATGTTTTTGTTTGACTCAAGTGTTCAGCTTATAATAGCTTTATAAAATGAGTTGGGAAGTGTTTTCTATTGTCTGCAGTTAAGTAAGATTTGGTAGTAATTCTTGCTTAAATATCTAACAGAATTCAGTAGTTAAGAAAACGAGTTTTTCCCTGAGAATAACGTGGGATATAATCAAAAGCAAAAATTTTTGAGTGATCAGCATTCCAGAACAGGGGGAGAAAACAGAAAACACAGAGAGG